ACAATGCTAGGCCGCACACGTCTTTGTCCACTCGGCAAAAATTGATGGATATTGCTTGGGAATCGATGTTACACCCACCGTATAGTCCTGATCTCGGGCCATCGGATTACCACTTATTTCGATCCCTGGACAACTCCCTTCGTGGTAAAACTTTTAACGACGACGACGCTGTAAAATCTCACTTAACTCAGTTTTCGGCCGAAAAGGATCAGACTTTCTACGAGCGTGGAATTTTCAAGCTGTCAGAGAGATGGCGAAAAGGTCATCGAACAAAATGGAAAATACATTACAGATTAAACTTCGTTCCAAGTAAAAAGAAATTTTCTATTTCATCGAACAAATCGGCAATTACTTAGTTGCCAACCCAATACAATAGCACCGCGAGAGTACAATAGTACGGTTAATTACGGAAGTACGGCAAATTTCGCGTTCGTCGAGATCGATTAGCGAGTCGATCGATCGGAATTCGCGAATCGCCGGGGGAACCGCCGCGTCGTCGAGGCTTTTCTCTGTAAAAATTTGACGAAGCCTCGATGGATAAATCGTCGATAAAAATCGTCGACGCCGCGTCGCTTCCGCGCGCCGTAAAGTTGTGCCCTCTCTCGCCGGGAAAAAACTGGGATATCCTTTTTCTCCGGCGACGGAATATTTCGCGTACGTATTAAATAAATCGTCGTGCTTCTCCGTCTCGTTTCTTTTTCTTTTTTTTTTGTCGCGTCGAATACACGGTAAATAAATCAGCGGATAAGAATTTTACGAGCGCGCGAGTTATCTACGGAAGGTCGCGGCGGGAGTGCATCGGTCGCCTATAAATATCGGAAATTATGGACAAATAAAAAGCGGCTTGCCGCGCGTCGTAGGTGGGTATGACGTTTGAGAAGCAAAAAAAAAAATTCGCGGAAAAAAAATGAGGAAAAAAGAAATTTGGAGATGCCGGGGATCGAACCCGGGGCCTTTCACATGCAAAGCGAACGCTCTACCACTGAGCTACATCCCCTCTTGAAAGAAGCAGCTCGGACAGCCTACAAGTCCCGCCGGCGTGCGCGCGCCAGCGTGTGTGTCACGATCTGTGTTCTCCATTTTAGAAACCATACTAACATGCCGCGCGTCATTACGCAAGCGACGATTCCCTGGGTTAAACAGCCTGACGATATATTCTGGACACGCGTTCGTGGACACGTTCTTTTCTAAAGATGCTCGTCGTTATTTTTTTACATAAATTCGTTAACGTCGAATTGTTTCGATTAATAGATTGACTCTGCGTTGAAATATCGGCGACGATATCGGTTACGATTTTCTGAACGCGATCGCGTTTGTTAATTTAATCTGTGACAACTTCGACTTCAATTATTTATTTGTTAATAAATAGATAAATCTCTAATCGGGAATGTACGAAACGTATTAATGAGATTACTGTGCAATAAATATTGTTTTGGCTAATTCAACGTACAGGTGCTAACATAGTTATCTCATCTTTTAGTAGTTTTTTGATAAATTGAATAGGATACAATGGTAGAAATAATAACATAATAATACAAAAATTATAATATTAGTACGATAATAAAATAATAAAATAATTAGTTAATAGTATAATAATGATATAATTATTATACTTATATAATAATAATAATAACTTACTTACATTAGTATAATAATGAAATAATAATAAAGCGATAATATAACAGTATGATAATAAAATAATAATAATATAATATTAGTATAATAATAAAATAATAATATAACAGTATGATAATAAAATAATAATAATAATAATATAATATTAGTATAATAATGAAATAGTAATAATGATATAATAATAAAGCAATAATATAACAGTATAATAATAAAATAATAATAATGATCATAATATTAGTATAATAATGAAATAGTAATAATGATATAATAATAAAGCAATAATATAACAGTATAATAATAAAATAATAATAATGATCATAATATTAGTATAATAATGAAATAGTAATAATGATATAATAATAAAGCAATAATATAACAATATAATAATAAAATAATAATAATATAATAATAAATAAATCATTACTATTCTATTACCGTACACTATCTCCAGAATTAAAATGACAGTAAATTCTCTCATTCTCTCACTCGCGCCTCGTTTTTACAGCTGTCAATTGTCAACTATAAAAACGAGCCGCGAATAATCGTATCTCCTTGTCCCAAATCGTCCAGAATAATCGGTGAGAATTTACTATATATCACTACGATGATTCTATACGTCCAAGTTTCGCATAATTTCTGTACAGCTTTGAACATCCCCCGTTACACCGGATCACCTAGAAACCCGTCCGAACCGAACGAATCCTAAAGGTCTATTATCCGAACACT